TCCTTAGTTGCAGCACATGGGCTCTGTAGTTGTGACAGCCAGCCTCCTTGGTTGTGGCTCCAGGGCTCCTTAGTTGCAGCTCTCCAGCTCCTTAGTTGCGGCACACAGGCTCTGTAGTCGTGGCATACGAACTCTTAGCTGCGGCATGCATGTGGGATAGTTCCCTGACCAGGGATCGAACCCAGGCCCCCTGCGTTGGGAGAGCGAAGTCTTATCCACTGTGCCACCAGGGGAGTCCCCAAGGAAGTTCTTTAAGTACTGTTCATACATGCAGGCACACACACACACACACACACACATACGCATACTCTCATATATATAGTGAACAAAAAATGATGGTATATTACCAATTGTATGAAAAAGGAGAGAGGGAGAATATATTTGCATTTTATGTGTATATTTGCTTGCAATGTATAAATATCTCTGGAAGGATACACGGGAAAAAAAGATCATCTTGGTTGCCCTTGAGGAAGAGAACTGGAGGACTCGGAGGTGAGTGGGGGAGATTTTTTTTTCACTGTCCCTTTTTGTATCTTTCCAATACTCAACTATGTAGAAAAGTAACCTGTTCAAAAATAAACAATTATTTTAAAAAAGAGAGAAAAGGAAAAAAAGTCAGTGGAGCTGTAGGCAAAAGCTCTTAAGGGAAGAATCCCATGTAGGATAGAAGTGTAGTAAAATATGTCTTGCCTGGTCTCCAAGTGCTCAGAAGTGAAAGTTCTTGAAACCGCTTGAAATAGGGGTTCAACTGTCCTGCTAAGATAGTCCTTGTTAAGTCTTTGCACTGAAGAAATGGACTTTTCTGGGGGAAGGACCGAGACGGAGTTTCACAGCAAGGCAGCAGCCAAAGATGAATAGGAAGTAAAAGGTTTGATGAGCCCCAATGTGAAGGAAAACCCTAGCCTTTCCCTCCTGTTGTACGAAAAAACCTCAGCCCCGTCTATCTCCTAAGTGCTTCTTTTACTTCTCACACAAAACACACATTTCTGGCACTTCTGGTCACCAAGGGTGTGGGCGTTTTCCCCACACCAAGCAGTTCTCTGCAACACCAGCTGGGTGGCCTGCAATTTAACTCAGTTCTGGCACCATCTACCTGGAGACGGCGTCAGAGCCCACAGGATAAGGGCTCAGTCCCACAAGACTGCTCTCCGCTCTCCTCCCCCACACTGCAGTCACCAGTGTCACCTGTGCTTCTGACTAAGCAGCTATAGATCAGAGGTTCCAACGACCCCCTCCTTGGGTTTGATTAATTCGCTAGAGCGTCTCACAGAACTCAGGGAAACACGTTTGCCAGTTTATTAAAGGATGTGATAAATGACACAGACGTACTGCCAGATGAAGAGACACATAGGGCGAGGTCTGGGAGGGTCCCAAGCACAGGAGCCTCTGTCCCCGTGAAGTTGGGGTGTGTCATCCTCCCGGTGTGGATGTGTTACCCAAAAAACTGGATTTGCCTTTTGGTGGGTGTCGAGCCAAGAAACATGGCCAAACCAAAGAATGGGAGAAGGAAGGAAAGGAATTATTATTTGCAGCAAGGAAGGAGAGGGACTTCCCCGGTGGTCCAGTGGTTAGGACTCCATGCTTTCACTGCCGAGAGCCCAGGTTCAATCCCTGGTTAAGGAATTAAGATCTCACAGCGCAGCCAAAAGAAAGGAGAACACCAGGGATCTTTCCCAAGCTGTGCCTCCCTGAATAGCAAAATTGGGGAAGTTTGAAACTAAGGATACACGCATATTCATGAAGGGTCTTAAGCAGTGGAAAATTCAGTGTAGAATTGGGGTGAAGGTTGACAGAGTGCAGGCTTCAACTGATTGAAGTCACGAGGGTCTGAAAAGGTCAACGTCATCATTCCATCCTCCACCTGGGTGGCGGCCTTACTTTCTGCCCCCAGAGATATGTATGCACTCAACGATATGTATCAGATTGTTATGTATCTCTTTTTTTTAAAACATCTTTATTGGAGTATAATTGCTTTACAATGGTTAGTTTCTGCTTTATAACAAAGTGAATCAGCTATACATATACATATATCCCCATATCTCCTCCCTCTTGTGTCTCCCTCCCACCCTCCCTATCCCACCCCTCTAGGTGGTCACAGAGCATCGAGCTGATCTCCCTGTGCTATGTGGCTGCTTCCCACCAGCTATCTATTTTACGTTTGGTAGTGTATATATGTCCATGCCACTCTGTCACTTCATCCCAGCTTACCCTTCCCTCTCTCCGTGTCCTCAAGTCCATTCTCTACGTCTACATATATCTCTTGAGAATCTAGGACTCTTTTATCACAGAACCATTGTTTCTTGACTGCTTTTTCTTTTGTTCCCTTAAGATCATTAATTACTGAGACCTGTTCAAGGGCAAGCATTGTGGCCAGGCTTAGATCACAAAATGGCTTAGGTCAAAATGGGTTCTCTTGTGTCAAGCAAGCCATGCCTGTTTCTCTTTTCTCCGGGGACCCCCTGCCCTTTCTGCTTATAATACCCAATGTTAGTGTAAAAGAAATATCCAGTTATTTTAACCAGATCATCAGATGCGCTGGACCAGGACCCAAGACTGTCAGATTTGTACCCTTTTATATAACTTCCCCATATTTTGCCCTTATATCTTGTCTTTTCTCTTGTAATGATGGACATTAAAGTCTTAAAATGAAAAGGGTCTGCAAACTTGTTTTCAGGGACAGCAAGGAAGCCTGTATAGTCAGGCCACTCAAGATGGCTGTTCTCTTGCTCTCTGTAAGTCCTCTGCCCTACCAGGGCCTGTGTCACCTATATCTGACGCACGTGACTGACCTTCCTATGTACTTGCCTCCGCCCCAGCTAGTGATTGTTCTTATCAAAGGGGTGGTGAGGGGCGTGCCTCTCTGCTGGTTTCCCTGGTAACCAATGAGCCCACCTGACGTCATTTTCCCTATAACTGGTAACCGCCCCCCCCGCCCCCGCCACCGCCACCGCCCTGGGAGCGGAGACTGCCGCCATATCCTGTCTGCAGCTTGCTGCAAATGGGGGGACCTTGCTTCAGACATGTAAGCTCCCCCATCCATTAAACCATTGATGTCTCTGTTGTTGACCTCAGGCTCTTTCTTCAGTCTTGAACCCCGGCAAGTGCAGGGCCCATAGGCCTGCGGGGTGCAGCCCAACAGGTGGACATAACGAGACCATCTTCGGGAACCCATCTAGGAGGGATGAGAAACCCACAGTCTGAGTAGGTGGTGACGGTTACTAGGAGGAGAGGAGGGGGGCGGGGGAGTCCCTGGGACGTGCCAGGGTGGAAGAGGAAAGCTTGAGGGGAGCCTGCCTGGGCCTGTGAATCTCCCTGGGGGACTTAGGAGAAAGGGTTCCTCAAGTACAGTGATAAATTATGCTTTGCACTGTAATAGGATTAAATTTGCAACTGTTACAGATGAGGTGTTACTAGCCCATTCTTGTATCACAGAAAGCTAGGCTTTTTCTCCATTCAACAGGTATTATTTTATTTTCATTGTTCCTAAAATGACACAAAGGAAGGCTTCTGTTTGTTCTCTTACCTTATGCTGATCTTAGAACAACACAAAAATACTGACTACGCTGATCTTGAAACAACACTGACAACTTCAAACATGGGAAGATGACTTACTCCCATTCTGTCCCCCTTTCCTCTTGGATTCGAACCACTGGCTTTGTTTAACCCCAGTTTTGCCTACTCTTTCCCAGAAAAGTCACCAGCAAACATGGATGGATCTACTAAAGGCAGGACTGTAGATTCAATAGGGTGTGGGACTCCAGCTTTGTTCTCAGGGAACTGACAGTCTCATCAGGAGACAAATAATTATTGGGTTGGCCAGAAAGTTCGTTCAGGTTATCTATGTTCCAGAAGAACCCGAGCGAGCTTTTTGGCCAACCCAATACATTCAGAAACGGGTACTAACGCCCGAGAGCATACGTTCAGTGCTAAGTTAGGGGTCTGGATAATAATGGCTTCAGGAATGCAGCTGAGGGCAGAAATCCCTGAGGGTCAATACACTGAAGCTTCTAGGAGAAGGGGGGCCTCCAAGGACAGATTTAGAGAAGGAGTAAAGAGAGCACCTGAGGCAGGCGGAGGGTGTGGGCGAGACCAGCCCGTGTGGCACATCTCTGTGGAGGAAGAGGCACCTGGTTCGCTGGAGACAGCAGTCACGGCGGAAGCAATTTCTGATTCAATGACAGTCTAAAGTAGGATTTTCCCCGGATTAATAGAAACCCTGTGCGTTGCAAACATAGCTGTCAGAGCATTAGAGGGATGTAGTGGATGAGCTGACTGCTGGGACTTGGCAGCTGAATGTGCACGGGGAGGGGGACAGTGTTTGAGGAAGTTCAGCATCTGTACATCTGCCAGCCCTCCTATGTCGCTCTGCGCACAGCCGGGGCCAAGATGCGGGTGAGCGTACGTCCCTCCCGTCCCCTGCAAGCTCAGCTCGTATTATTTCTTTCTCTTGTTCTCTCCATTCTTTCCTCTTTCCGCTCACGGCCAGATGTCGAGGAGAAATCCTTTCTCGCTGTGAGTTTTGGTTGGAGTGTCAACCTGTGACATTCGCCTTTTGTGTGCATGCCCAGGTTAGTAGGGAGGATAAACGATGGGAACTCTACCGACACCCACCTGGTCTAAGAATCACAAGTCTCCAGATCTAGCTCTAATGCCTTTTAGCTCCATGAACTTGAGCTGGCCCTTAAACTACCTGTCCTTCGGTTTCCTTTATTTGTAAAACGGAGATGTTAATACCTCCCTACCTACGTCGCAGAATTTTCTTGAGATTCAAATGAAATATAGTTGTAAGAGCACTTTGGAGACTAAGGAACTTAGTAACTCAAGGTGAAGATGGTGGGGACCGGGGTGGGGGGGAGGTGGTGAAGTTGGGAAACTCAATACATCCCATCCAGCCCGGTGATTTTATAAAATCGTTTTTTATCATTTAAATAATTTTAACTATATAGCTTTTTTGGATGTTTTAACGACTCTCACTCTAGTGATATCTTTTTCCTCCCTAGATATCCCTAAGTGCAGAACCCAGCAACCCCCTACACATTCCAGCTCATCTCGCTTGGCTTCCACATCGACCAGTGGGGCTCCCAGCCACTGAAGCAGCAACGAAAACTCTCATGCAGCATCTCCAGAGACACTCTGGGCTCCAATCATTACCCCAGGCCTTCCAGCCAAAGTTGATTTAAAAATGTGAAAGGATTTTTCTAGAAATGACAGGCTGCTCTACATGGAGAGTTGGATGTTAGTTGGCTCCTTTATTAGAAACGGTTTAGGTACCTTATTGTGAAAGTGAGTCCTACAGTATTTCGGTAAAAGGTATTCATGGCACAGATGTTGACGTATTTACAAACTGAGATAGAAATGTGATGATAGATACCATGGGGTTGATAAAGGGACATACGATAGCACCGTTGGTGAGACTGGGTGTGTGAGGCAGGGTCCCAGAAGGATAAGGCCAGCACATTCCCAAGGCTACTTGAGCAGTTTAATGATGGGAGTGTTTTTTCTAGGGCTGCTGTGACAAACTACTGCTATTTGAGTCCACTCAGGCTGCTATAACAAAAATACCATTGACGAGTGGCTTATAAACAACAGACATTTATTTTCTTACAGTTCTGGAGGCTGGGAAGTCCAAGATCAAGGTGTGGGCAGGGTTGGTTTCTTCTGAAGCCTCTCTCCTTGGCTTGCAGATGGCCATCTTCTCCCTGTGTCCTCACACGGTCGTCCCTTTGTGTGTGTCTGTGTCCTAATCTCCTCTCCTTATAAGGACACAAGTCCGATTGAATTAGGGCCCACCCATATGACTTTGTTTAACCTTAATGACCTCTTTGAAGATACTCTCTCCAAAGACAGTCACATTCTGCGGTCTCGGGGGTTAGGACTTCAACATAGGAATTGGTGTGGGGAGGTTACAGTTCAGCCCTTAACCCACACTGTGGATGGGGTTAAGAGAATCAAGACGAGATGGTGAAGCCCCTGGAAACTAGCAACAGCAGAAGCCTTTATCATCCTTTCGCCTGAAGAAGCAAAAGAGAAAGGGCATGCTATTCCTAGAACCCAGTGAGAGCTGTAGCCACGGGAGAGGGACTGCCCAGCCTATGGTGTATGGTGGAGGAACGCAGCCATGATGGAGACCAGGGCCTAGCAGGGAGGGAGGGAGAAGACCCACCCCTCTCTCTCGCCACTCTTCACACTCCAACAGCACTTCCCTTTGGTCAAACCCACCTGGAAGTCAGAGAACAGAGAAGCCTGGGGGATGCAGCTCGTAGGTGTCAGCCTTTGAGCCAGGGAACAGGCTGACAGGTGTGGCCAGGAGTGGGCGGGGAGGGGTAGGATTTGGGTGGGACGATGAAGAATCACCAACACGATGGTGGAAACATAGACATTTCCAAAGGAGGAATTATGATGCATATTCAGGCAACGTAAATGGGCTTTAAAGAGTTACTGGAAAACAGAAAATGCTACTTAACTGCAAAAATATAAGTCGTACATTCTAAACTAAACCACCTGCTCATGTAACCATTTCCAGGTCCCAAAAGTGACCATTCTAGGATACTTATTTGCATAAGTAAAGCAGAATGGTAGAAAAACAACTATGTTTGTCAATCTTGTCATGTTGAACACTTATGTTCTTACTTTATATACTGTAATGTAGGTATTTTTGAATGGTTCAAAATGGTGACCTGGCAGCATGGCCCAAGATACAGTGGTTTGGATGCCCAAGTGATCGGTGGAGGACAAAACATGACCAACTTAGAAATGACTGGTTGGCATCACCCAGGATGAAGCCAATATGTGGCTCTGAGGCAGAGAAGAAAGAAGACACACCCAGAATGAGACCTTGTGTTCTTCCCATGGGCAAAGCAGATGGCTTTGAGGGTTTCCTCTTCCTGGGGCCTGAGCCCTCATGGTCAGCCCCCAGGAGCCAGGGGCAGCTGTGTAAGCTGGGGTGGGGGGACCTGCAGCTCCAGGATTCTGCCCCGCTTTGTCCCAGTGAACTCCTGTGAATATGTCAGGAACCAGTCATGTTGGAGGCCTATGTCTGAATGGGCCAGTCTGGAGTAAGTCCCCAGCCCTTTCTGGAGTAAACTAGGATATCCTGGGGCAAGGACATAATCAAGAGAAAAAAGGGCTTGTCCAGTAGAAGTGGCTCCATCTTGTCTTAAGCTGTATTGGGTTATCTATTCCTGTGAAACAAACCGACCCCAAACTTAGTTGCTTACAGCTGTCTGTTATTCTCCTTTTGAATCTGCAGTTTGGGAGGGGCCTGGGGGAGAGCTTGTCTCTGATCCACACGGCATCTTCCCCCCAGCAGAGGGCTGGAAGGTCCGCTTCCAAGATAGTGCAGGAACATGGCTGGAAAGTTGGTCCTGGCCGTCCACTGGGCACTCAACAGGGCTGAGGGTTGGGGGCCTCTGTTCCTCTCCACGTGGGCTGGGATTCTCATTGCATGGGGGGTGGGTTCTAAGGACAAAAGTCCCAAGAGAGCCAGGTGGAAACTGAATCACATTTTTATCCTAGCCTGGCGTTGGGCTGCACCCCACAGGCCTGCAAGGCCTGTACTTGCCAACTTCAAGACTGAAGAAAGAGTCCAAAGTCAACAACAGAGACATCAGTGGTTTAATGGATGGGGGAGCTTACACATCTGGACCAAGGTCCTGGAGCAACACCTCACGGTGTGGGGTGGACGGCAGGCAGGATGCGGCGGCAGTCTTCTTTCGGGGTGGACCGGGGGGTGGGGGGGGGGGGGGGAGTGGAGATTACCAGTTATAGGAGAATTGACGTCAGGTGGGCTCATTGGTTTCCAGGGAAAGGAGCAGAGGGGCACGCCCCTCACCAACTCTTTAATAAGAAAATTATCAGCTGGGGCAGAGGCAAGTACGTAGGAAGGTCAGTCGTGTGTCTAAGGCAGGGGTCCCCAACCCCCGGGCTACAGACCAGTACCAGTCCACCGCCTGTTAGGAACCGGGCCGCACAGCAGGAGGTGAGTGGCTAGCTAGCGAAGCGTCATCCGCTGCTTCCCATTGCTCCCCGTCACTCGCGTTACCGCCTGCACCGTCCCGCCCCCTCCAATCCGTGGAAAAATTGTCTTCCGTGAAACTTGTCCCTGGTGCCAGAAAAGTTGGGGGCCGCCGGTGTGAGATATAGGTGAAGCAGGCACTGGTCGGGCAGGGGATGTACAGAGAGCAAGAGAACAGCCATATTGAGTGGCCGGACCTTGGAAGGCTCCAAGTCACTCCATCATCCCCTGGTGATCACGAGGCTTGTCCAATTTCAAGCAGAGGGGTTGTAGACTGAGGAGAGTTGCAAGGTTCTGGAAGAACCCGTGGGATGGGAAATATTATTATGGCTGTTTCGGAGTAGAAACCAAATCTCTGCCTCAGGATGGTACCCGTGTGACCCGTACCCATCATTGGTCACAGCATAGTTATGTGAACTAGGTACATCCCCTGTGTTAGTCTGCTTGGGATGCCATATAAAATACTATAGACTGGGTGGCTTAAACAACAGAAATTTATTTTCTCACAGCTCTGGAGGCTGGAAGTCCGAGATCCAGGTGTCAGCAGGGTTAGTGTTTGATGAGAGCTCTCCTTGGGTTGTCTTTTTTCACTGTGTGCTCACATGACCTTTCCTTGGTGCCTTTGCAGAGGGGGAAGCAAAGGGAGAGAGGAAGAGACATGTCTCTCCTGGTGTCTCTTCTTATAAGGACACTAATCCTATCAGATCAGGGCGCCACCCTTATCACCTCATTTAACCTTCATTATGTCCTTAGAGACCCCATCTCTAAAGACAGCCCCTCTGGGGGTTAAGACTTCAACATATGAATTTTGGGGGGGGCACATTCAGTCCCTAACATCCCCCATAGTGATATGAAATAGATGACACTTGATAAATTTATATTGATATTCATTTATTCAAGAAAACTTCATTGAACACCTGTTTTGTGCCGGACTCTCTACTAGGCTCTGGGAATACAGGTAGGAGAAAAAAACTGTTCCTGTCTTTAATGAGTTTATAACTGCGAGGGAGACAGAGCAGCCGTTACAATACAGTGATCGCTGCCAGGAGAGCTTGCTGTGACAGCTCCTAGAAGGGACAAATATACCGCTCCGTGGAGGCTGCAGAAGTGATGTCCAAGCAGAAACCGAGGATGAGAAGTATTGAGTAGTAAACTGGGTGGGACAGACAAGGGGATTAAGAAAGAAGATACACGGAGGCCTGAGGTAGAACTAGGGTGACCACGATCCTGGTTTGCCCAGGGCTGTCCTGGTTTTAGCACTAAAAGTCCCATGTCCAGAAAACGCCTTGGCCACTGTGCCTTCTCCGTGGAACCGTAAATAGTCCAGTAGAGCTGGTGCACAGAGGAGGGGGCGTTGCCACAGGATTGGTGGGAGAAACGCTGGAAAAGTAGGAGGAGCCCAAAAAGGAAGTGAGACACACTCAGGAGTTAAGACTTTCTCTTGGAAGTAGTTGAGCCATCCATAAGTGATCTTAAATAGGGGAGCAACTTGCTGAGACTTGTATTTAGAAAGAGCTCTATCTGCTGGATGATGTAGAAGAGGGACAATACTGAAGGCCAGTCAGGGAGCCATGGTGGTTTTCCAGGGAACAGAGATGGAGAATTAAAGTAAAGTAATGGAGGGAGACGGAGAGACCCAGAGGATTCAGAGTGTCTTAAGGAGAAGTAACAGAACTTAGAAATATACGTGTGGGAGGTGAGAGAGAAGGAGAAATCAAGGATGACTCCCAGATTTCTGGCTTGGGCAACTGGAAAAAGTCTTGGGAAGTCACTAAGATGGTTTGGAAATACCTTCCGCACTGCACCTGACATGAGAATACAAACAAAGCAGCCCTTCTTCTGCTTCCCACACAGCTCTTATTGACCTAAAATCTCTGTTATTGTGCAACTGCCCCAGAAATCTCGGGTCCATACAGCCAGGAGGCTTATGGGAACATCGGGATATAAGGGGGAAGTCTGGGGCAAGAGGGGTGTTTATGACACTAGATTCTCCCTCGAGGTTTATGTACACCATCTTTTTTAAGCTTCATGAGAATCTTACGAGGGAGGTAGGTGGAGACTGTTATTCCCATTTCAGAATTGCCGGATGGGGATAAAGTAGCATGCCCCCGGGGCCACTGCCACAGAGCGGCAGAGCTGGGCTCTATCTACAGTGAGCTGTGTCTGACTCTGAAGAAATGAACTGCTCTTTCCACCATGCTGCTTCCCTAATTAGCACACTAGTCTCTACCGATTGGATATGTGGTCACATCTACTGCCATGCCTTCATTCTGTCTTCATTCAGCATTTGAGAAGGATGCAGGGACTTCCCTGGCGGTCCAGTGGTTAGCGCTCCACGCTTCCACCGCAGGGGGCATGGGTTGGATTCCTGGTCCGGGAAGTAAGATCCCGCGTGCCTTGGCATGGCCAAAAAAATAAATAAATAAAAGAGAGAGAAGGATGCTAACCAAAGTAAGGGCTCTACCTCCTTCAGGGCCCTAAGAGGATAGCTGAAGGCTGCTTGCAGGAGCAGAGTTTGCAAGAGAGCTTCTTAA